ATGCATAGTTAATAAAATATACTTTACTCAAATATTTTATTGTATTATATTTTAGATAAAATATCATTATTATTTGAATAAAGCTACTTTTATGTTTTTAAAATATTGCAAAATATCGCGTATAAGTTTAAATTAAAATATATATTTAATTACATATTTTTCTAATATTTATTAAAAAATTCAGTTTAATCAGTTTAATATACTTAGAATTGTAATTTAAACTTGTATATTATATTTCCTATAAAAGGACTTCATTTACAATATTTAAACAATAAATTAATTTAATACTCAAAATTGTATGCGCTATGATATATACTTCAAGAATAAACAAATCAAATATTACATATATCTATTTAAACAAATTTGTAATATTACATCTTAATTCTTTTAAATTAGTTATGTAGTAAGCATTATATTTGCATTCATTTTATATGAATATGGATACCATATTGGCATTTCAACTACACACACATATACAATCATATATACAATTGTGATATACAATCTTTAAAATTTATAAAAATAGAAAAAAATCAATTCGCATAAAATTTAGTCTTATGCAAAATACAATCATGTTTAATTTATTTTTCATTTTAGAATATATATATATATTCTATCAACTGTGCATATCCATTTTAAAAGTTACGTAATTATGCATTATTCTAAATAACGTTGACAATTAAATGCTTGCATTTGATGTGTAATTGTGATAAAAGATATTGTATATAGATTTTGTTATATTTTTTAATATTAAAAATGAAATAAAATCATACATCAATGTTAATAATTGTAAAATAGTTAAAATAGTGAATGTAAATCAATATCCGCTTTATATTTAAAATTTTTGTTATATATAGCAGTATATGTTCAGTATGTTATTCATTTAGCAAGCTTTAGCATGCTATTCATGTTAAAGTAATAAGATTGCAAATAAGCAATCTATTATCATTTTGAAAATAAAATTATTATATTTTTGCAAGTCAGGAAAAATACTGTGTATATAAGTTTTTATTTTTTATATAATGTGCGAAGATAATAAACTGTAAATGAAATTTGTATAGTAAATATATGTATCGACAATGAATTTGATACGTCAGAAATTATTTATTTATTATCAACGGAACAGAACAATATACAAAATAATTGATATCTAAGTTATTACATTGAAAAGTTTTCAGTAGAAATATAACTTTTTATTAAGATTGTTATGAAGTTGCAACAATGGATGCAATTCCATGATGTAGAATAATAATCTTGAGTACAGAGATTTTTCCTCATTATCATTAAAGGAAGTTGTGGGTGTAAAAGTTGAACCACTCTTTTACTGAGATATAAATTATCATACTTGGTTGTATCAGGTCACATCATAACACTTTCTTTCATTCGTATATTATATTTTCAAATAAAATTAATTATATATTTAATATTAATAGCTAGGTTGTGGTTGTTGCGTCAACAGTAGGCCAAATCTTCTTTTCATTGTAATTCTTTCTCTTGAATATTTGTCTTCTACAGAAAATCGAGCTGAAAAAATATTCAATATCATGCCTTTTGTTTATACTACATAAAGTATCTATATAACAAAAGTGTAAAAATTTACCTGGATGTGCGGACATCGTAGGCTTTCCGTTAGGGTCCACTTTCTATAAAAATTTAGCAATTAAAATAGCAATTAAAAAAAGAAAAAAATATAAAATCAGATAAAAAGATTTTGTATGTAAGATAAAAGAAAATTGGTATATAGAAGAAATAATGTACAAAATCAGTTAAAAAGATTACAAAGATATATGTGATAATATATATATTTAATTCTATTGAATATGCTAATTGTGACATTCTATTGAATGTGCTATATTGTGCAATATATTCTACCATATTAGAGATGTGTTCAGGGAGCATTATAGCTATATTATTCTATTTTTATTTTAACCCTTTGTTTTAATATTTTATCATGAATGATAAGGGTAGAATAACATAAATAGTGTTAATCTTCGAGAAGGCATACTACATTGCGATGGGAAATGATATATTAGACTGAGAAATAATGCATTATTTGTAACACCATTACTATTATTTTTTGTTAGATAAGGAATTGGTAAAATTATACTTTTTTATTAGTACGGTAATGCAGTTACATTTTAAGTAACGAATTAATATCTTTTATTTTATACACATGCAATAAGTATATGTGTATAGGATATATATATATAAACGAATTTTAAAAGAAAGAAGGTGTTATGTTCGATTATATTGCAATCAAACTCATAATTATTTATTTTTTACAATAAGTAACTTTTTAATTTGTCTAACCTTATATATATATATATATAGATAATGCGACATTCACAAGAAATTACCTGTAAAGTGTACACTCGGTTTCCTTTGTTGTCCAAATAATACATTAGATACATTTTTGGATATTTCAACTTGCAATCCTTTGCAACTTAACCTTCGTACAGTCGCTTATATCTTCTAATTGCAACTTCTTTCTTTAATGAATATCTGCCAATACCTGTTTTTAGTAAGATATAATCTGTCCAACCAAACTGCACGTTTAGAAATAAATGAAAAAATCGAAATCAATCAGATTATCAAAATATCTCAACTATATTGGCAAATATAACGTGATGGAATAGAATATTTCAACAATGAACGAAGTATGAGCGCGACAGCCAATAACGTATCCGTTTTTCCGAAAAAGTATTTGATTGGCTGCCGCGCCACTTCTTGCCACGTGGTTGCATGTCGTCGTTTCTTGTGTAAACGGCTATTAGCGCGGTATAAAGTTAGTTTGAAGTTTTTGTCTATCATTCTTTTCTTGTTATATTGTACATGTTTTTCATGGCATGTAAGATACACTTGCTAACCAAATATTTTGAGTATTATACTATACGAAAAACAAATATGAGAAAACCTGTTTACAATTAATCAACGGGTCTATTCTTTTCTTATTCTTTTGTACTGATCATCTTTTTCTTTCCGTACTTTATTTCTCTAATGTGAAAAGAAAAAGAAGAAAAATGAATAACGCAAGAAGTTCAGCTGAAAAGAACAAATTAAATGTGTCTCGACAGTGAAGTTTATCCAGTTGGTTTATGTGTGAAAGTATATGTATGGAGAAATCGATTAATCATAGACGAAAAATAAAGCGTGTCATCTTCTGTAATTATTATATACATAATTGATTTCTTTATAGGTCATGACAAGCAGGAAATTGTTGCATGTAGTGCAGATCTATTTTTCTGTTTCAACGTAACGTAATATGTTTCGAAAAAAGGAATAAAAGATCAGGAAAACATGACATTTAAAATTCTGTACGATTAGAACAAAAATGAAATTCTCAAGTCTGTGATGAAATTCTATACTTTTTTAGATAGAAAATTAAAAAATTTTGAATTAATATAATATTATACACTACATATATATATA